TTTTTTTAAATGAATAAGTGAACCATACATATTGTCAACATGGGACGGAGATCAACATCATCCACCAAGAGTGGAAAATTTATGAACCCTACAGACCAAGCCCGAAAGGAAGCCCGGAAGAGAGAATTTAAAAAGAACAAAAAACAGCATATGATGGTAGGAGCTGCAGTTTTGAAGATGAAAGACCCCAAACAGATTATCCGGGACCTGGAGAAATTGTATGAAATGGAGTTTAACCCAGTGCAACAACCACAGTTAAATGAGAAAGTACTGAAAGACAAACGTAAAAAGCTGCGTGAAACTTTTGAACGTATTCTGCGACTTTATGAAAAAGAGAATCCAGATATTTACAAAGAATTGAGAAAGCTAGAAGTAGAATATGAACAGAAGAGGGCTCAACTTAGCCAATATTTTGATGCTGTCAAGAATGCTCAGCATGTGGAAGTAGAGAGTATTCTTTTGCCAGATATGCCGAATGTTCCTTCCAACATCTTCATCCAGGACATTCCACTTCCTGGTGCCCAGCCACCCTCCATCCTAAAGAAGACCTCAGCCTATGGACCCCCAACTCGTGCAGTTTCTATCCTTCCTCTTCTTGGACATGGTGTTCCACATTTGCCCCTGGCAGAAAACCTTCTGGCCCTCCACCTGGTCCACCTCCTCCCCAAGTCATGCAGATGTATGGCCGTAAAGTGGGCTTTGCTCTAGATCTTCCCCCTCGTAGGCAAGATGAAGACATGTTGCATAGTCCAGAACTTGCTCAATGGGGTCATGATGATGATGTGTCCAGTACTAGTGAAGATGATGGCTATCCTGAGGACATGGATCAGGATAAGCACGATGACAGTGACACTGACAGATTGGATGGAGAAAGTGAGGGGGATGAATTTGTGCACCGTGATGATACTGAGAGAGACAATAATGAAGAAAAAAAGTCAGGTCTGAGTGTACGATTTGCAGATATGCCTGGAAAATCAAGGAAGAAAAAGAAGAACATGAAGGAGCTGACTCCTCTTCAAGCCATGATGCTTCGAATGGCCGGTCAGGAAATCCCAGAGGAAGGACGGGAAGTAGAGGAATTTTCAGAGGATGATGATGAAGATGATTCTGATGATTCTGAAGCAGAAAAACAATCACAAAAACAGCATAAAGAGGACCTTCATTCTGATGGCACTTCTACTGCTTCTTCACAGCAGCAGGCTCCCCCGCAGTCTGTTCCTCCTTCTCAGATATAAGCAACTCCCATGCCAGGACCACCTCCTCTTGGACCACCACCTGCTCCACCTTTACAACCTCCTGGGCCACCCACGGGCCTTCCTCCTGGACCACCTCCAGGGG